ACTTGAACTTAGTACTGCTGGGCGAAGTACAAGGATCACAGTAAATAAGATTGATAAGACAGTGTTCTTCGATGAAGATAAATTAGATAATTTTCGAGTCCAACTAACAGCTTCACAAAGAGAAATGAAAAAAATTACAAATTTTATAAGGTGTAATGTGTGTAGAATGTCTATTCCAAAAAACTACAGAGAGCATATGTCAAAAAAGTCTAAAGAATTAAAAGATGTTTACAAATCAGGTGTACATGAATTTGATTGTGAAAGCGGAACAGACGCAGAAAAGCAATCACGCACTGTTGTCTATGTCAACGCAGAAGAACTTTTAGACAAAGTTATCGAAAGTAGAGGATTATTGGGCAATTTTTGTATCAAAGCTATGGCTGATGGTGGACAAAATTTTTTCAAAATTAATTTATGTATTATGCCTGCTAGTTATTCACCTAAAAATGAAGAAAGTTCCATGCAAGAAAATTGTTATGATGAAAGTGATCCAGAAGAAACGGGTTTTCGACGCAATTATAGCAAATTTACGTACGACGTACATGTGGCTATTGATAGAAAGAGGATGACACTATTTATATTATTTGACTTGTGTAAGACTTTGTTTTTTTTATCTATATGTACATACTTTATCTATATGGCATCACAACTTTCCAAATGCAAGGTCTCAATTGAGAAAATATATAATGAATGCTCTTGTTTTTATTGCAAAGTGTACTGCGACCAGTCTTTAATCAAAAATATTGAATTTTTAATGATGTATCATTTGCGAAAATTTGTTAAATGTATTGAATTTTACCTAAGGCAAAAAAAGGACAATCAATCCCTGCCATGACAAAAAATCGAGCGGTCTACTTATTTTTAATAACGTTTTTTATACATTTACCAAATTTCCACAAACATAAGATTTTAACACGTGATAATATTTAGACTAGTAGTTTTCACTGTATTTTTCATTGAGTAGAAGCCTCATTTGTTTAATAACACAGGTATTCAAACAATAGGTTATTTTCTGTATCATAAACGAGCCATAGTATTCCTAAAGAATTTTAATAAAAGTGGAAAAATCACTTTTTTTTGTCATATTTAAGGTTATGTTATATCGTAAATAATTTTTTATCTAATAGATACAATTTAATGATTTAAGTATATTTTTGTAGAATATTTGAAGACAAAGAAAAAGTACTTTTTTTTCTAGTGGAATAAAGTGGAAAAATAATATATGGGGAAAACGCAAATTTACGTGAAAATTTTGCAATAAAGCAACGTTCAATAAAGCAATGTTCAACCCCTTTTCATGAGTATTGAAAATTAATGTAATTATAATAATGTACAACATACTTAGGACCTATACTTAACAGTTTAACGTGCCGGAACAAAGAGTCATGTAAAAATTTCTATACCTTGGACTAAATAAAAACAAATATATGAAAGATTGAGAAATATTCTTTAAGCATAAAACAAATTTTCACATCTGAATTTCTAATGTATCACTACAAAGAGTTCTAGGATATTTTGATACAATTACATAAAATAATTAGAAACAAAAGCATATTCCGAAAAACTGACTGAAAATTAGTATTAAAAACAATGACATCTGTACATATGTTTGTATGTATATGTATGTTGTATTCTGATCATCACAATAAATTAAATACATTCAAGCGTTCTACGTTGTTCCGAATCTTTTAAAAAAGGATTATCAAATTGTGCTATAATTTTCACAGTTCTTAAATGATAGTACAGATTGTAAAAGTTGGTTAAATAAATTATTATTTAACGCCGTTAAGATATGAATTGGTCCTTTCTGCGAGACTAACCGCCACCTTAATCCACTGTTTTTATGTCCAGTTTTTATCAGCATTAATTTTAAGAGGTTGAAAATGAGTGCAAAACATAGCACGAGATATTTGAATATTATTACGAGTTTTTACTGCGAGTCAAGATTACTGGAGTAGTAACATAGGAAAATATAAAACATGATTAAAAATGGTAGATGAAGAGTTTAATATATCTTATAGCAACAAATCTAAAAAAAAGTATATCGGGCGAGAGATTTAATTGTAAATAATATCATAAACAAAAGAAGTGATCGTACTTTTTGATCATATAGAGAGAGAAAGAGAGAGAGAAACAGAGAGAGGGAGAGAAACATAGAGAGAGAGAGAGAGAGAGAGAAAGAAATTGTGATGATGCGTCAACCTTGAATTATTATTGAGCTCACACGAGATCCGTTCCCGACAAGAGGATGCGATCGAACAGCTGATGCCGCATAGCCCACTCGCGCACATCCGAGACCTCGCGATTTAACACTCCTCAGGGTCTACCAAGCTGATGCGCATGATCCTTACGCCCGCGTACAACCATTCGCGCACTCACGATCTGAACCGATACTCCCCCAGGAAGCTAGACGACAAGGAAGATTGTAGCTGAGATCAGCTGATCATAGCAACTGCTGTTAAGTTAGAGTAGACCTGGCTAGACCAAGGGAGGGACAACCGAACGCGTGAGAGCGAGCAAGACGATACGAGACCGATCGGACGCTAGCGAGGGGAAATCGGTAGGGCTAACGAGCGCATGTTAGAAAGAGATAGCCGATAACGACACGAAACTGACCGACGCACACGACTTGACTAGCCAATCGGTAATAGGATAGGGGTAGATCGCCGAATGAGTTAAGACGACGCTACTTAACCAACCAATCGGTAACAGGCTAGGGATGGTTTAGCAAATAGAATAAAACTGACGCTATCTGCTTAACAAATAGGGAAATTAGGCGCCAAGAACTGACCAGTCGTAAAATTGTGCTGGCCAACTTAGTAAAATAGACGGCGCTGACATCCGACCTAGCAACCAAACCGACCAATTAGGTAAAATCTTGCGACTTTAAGGGGAAGCAAGTTAGGAGAAGCGACGCAACGCCGCAGAATGCCGCGCCAGTAGCCGTTCAGTAGCTGAGTAGTAACCGTTTAGTAGCCGAGTAGTAGTCGTTCAGTAGCCGAGTAGTAGCCGTTCAGTAGCCGTGTAGTAGCCGTACAGTAGCTGCCCAAACCCGAGCCGCGCAGTAGCCGCCGAGTAGCCACTAGAGCAACCGCCAGTCTCTGGAGCCGCGCGGACATCCGGAACACGCGAGTGAGAGTGAGCGCCGACCAAAGAAGCAACAGTATAACACAGAAGCAGCAGCATAACACAGAAGCAGCAGCATAACACGGAAGCAACAGCATCAGAATATTCAGCCGCAGCAGCAGCAGCAGAAAATCAAACGGGAAACAGCAAGATAACGAAAATTGAGTACTTCTCTTTCACCCTCTGATTATGCGTGACCGTCTAGACCTCATGTGTTACCGGGAGTCCCGTCTGACCTTCGCGCGATCGACGAATTCCTCGTGTGCGACCCGTTAGATTGACACGAATTTCCTTTACGTGATCGTTAAGCCCCTGTATAAATATAAATATCGCCTGAGCTTCCTGATCGCCAAGTTCCTCGCAATAGCATTAGATTGCCATTGATGCTTTTACGCCGTCGTAAATGTTCGCGTATCAATAGGACCCTATATGATCGCCACGCAATCCCCGAAACTGCCCGCGTATTAGTCTAGGTCACCTAACCTCCGCTCGATTGTCACGAAAGCGGGTCGAAGTCATGTCACAGAGCGCCATCCGCGCCGTCAATAAATTTAGGCGAAACTGACCGTCGCGAACAGCTGATTACGAGTGGGCATGAAAAGAGACGCGAGATAATTGACTTTGGGCTGACCCGGGTAAAACAAGTTTGATTACTAATAAAGATGAATCCTAGCTTAAACCATTATTGTCATTGACTTCACCCCGTTTGATTTTACTATATCCCCCGTAGCTACCGCGATCGGGTGCGCGAAACTAGCAAACGCGTTGACACCTCGACGCCGCTTCAATCCACGTGACCGGTTGATCTGAACTCTCTACTGCTCTTGGATCGTTAACGTGGCGTCCTGAGATGCCGCTCCGATTACCCGCTGCTGAGACAAGAGCCTTTGCCCCGACATAATGACTAGCCGTCGAGCCACAGCCGTGGGTGGTTAATATTCCCCCCTCCCCCGTTTGATTCTCTTCGTACGTTCGATTTAGGACTTCGCACTCTCTTTTCTTTCTGACACCCTATAGGTAGCCAACGAAGCCAGCGTACGGGGAAGACAACGGGACCGCCCAAATCACAGCGACCAGAACGATTGATCATTGATAATAAATAAAAGCTGCGATTATCGGCTGACTGCGTCGCTGGCGGCAGTTGAAGCCGGAAAAATCGACTATTTAATTTTCCCCCGCCCTCTTCCCCGTCGCAAAATCTAACCGCGAGCTGACGAACGAACATCAAAACGCGATATAAACAAAAACGCTCATGAGTCAAAAGAATTATTTTATCGAGACATTGCTGCTGCAGATAGGGATATTTGAATGGGAGGAGCGTACATAAGTGGGCGACTGCAACAGGTGCAGGATCGAGTTGGAAGTAAAAGTGTTATCCGGAGAAAACAGTTTGGTCAGCAATCTCATTCCTTTCTATTTCGCCAAGCAATCTAACTCTCCACAACTTGCACTCCTGCGTGCGCGTCCTAGTTTCTCTCCTAGAACTTTGCGCATAGCACCAAAACTAACTAGCCGTAAAGAGCAAGAGTAATTCGTACGATTCTTACGCGAAATCAAATAAATACGCTTCTTGACCATTAATGTTTTACTGACTACTAGACTGAGTCTCCCTCTTCTACTTCGTGCATGCATACCTTTCATGTATACTTCCGAATATTAAGCCGATCTGTCTATCACATTCATGCTCCCTATTCTCTGTCATGGCTGCTTCTCAATATACTTACGCGCTTTAATTCGATTGTTATAAGACATTTAAATGCACATTCATAAAAAAGTTTATATTAATAGAGATACTAGTAAGACAAATTATATGGTAGTATATTTGTGAAATAATTATTAATGAATTATATTTCATATTGTTTTCAATGACTAACCTGTAAAATTTTCCTGATTTGTTGAGCTATTTCTGGTCTTGGTCCAAGTTCTAGTAGTCTTCGAGCAAATGATCGCGCTGTTTTATAGTATTTGAATTTAAAAAATGTGTTTACTGCTGTCCGTAAAGTTAAAACTTGATGAACTGGCTGTAAATTACAATGTGTAAAATAAGCGATCATTTCACAAATTCTTTGCTGATCTCGTAATGAAATTTTTGGAATATTTTTTCTTTCCGTTTCCATTTTAAGACCCAAGATATATTCTCGACAAATTTCAATAAGCTGCTGTGCTTCAGCAATACTTTGTTTTGAATCTAAATACAATAAAGGAATCATAAGTAATATTGATTGTAATTTTTCAACAGCTTCTACAAACTTTCCAGCCGTTGTCAACTGATAACTGACTTGTAATTTGTCTACAAGATCAGGTAGTTGCAATATACCGACTGGTAATTGCAGTTTTGAGTGTTTTTCTTTCCAGTTGCGTAATGGATAGTTATATATCGTAATGGTACTAGGAAATAAGGTTAAAGATGTTTTAGAACTTAAAAATATACTCAAAAACAGTTTTTTAAATTTCTTAAATTGAACTATGCCAATTTGTTCATTTAGTAGTTTAAAAGCTGTTTCAAATGATCCTGCCAAAATATGGTCAACAGAAAGTTGAGATTCAGCTGTCCAAATTTCGGCAATTGATATACCTTTTGAAGGTGGCGAAAAATAATTTTCATCTAATTGTAGAGCTTCAGTTGAGACTATTTCTATTGGAAGATCTATTTCTTCAACGTCCCAACCTACTGATAAATTTGAAACGTTAGTGAAATTTTTATCCACTCTAAAATTCGACGTTACAGACTCGTGTATTTCAGTTTCGTCTTCATCACTTCCCCAACCTTCAGAATTTGAATTGTTTTCATGTGGAGCCAATAATGAATTGACTTGATTTTGATTTTTGGAATTAAGAGATCCATCAAAAAATCCACGAGATACTGTTAGTAGAGGCCAATTACTTTCGACATAACATACGGGAAGGAGTGGCCGTAAGCAAAATGAAAATATTTGAGAGTTTTCCTTGCTTCCGCCATCATTGACGATATTCGGCAAATACTGTGTACACTCAACGTTATATATACGTTTTGTTATATGAGCTAACGCCTCTTGACTCGACTGCTGAAACACACACACACATATATATATATATATATAAACATATATAAAAATGATTTATTTGAATTAAATAAATTTATCAATACGCAGTAAATTACATAAAATATAATTTGGAAAATAGCAGTTTTATTTGAAATTGTACGCGTGTGCTTACACTAAATATGCAGTTATGAATAAAAGTTAAACTACATACACATATACACATATATGCATACTTTGTGACAGGGCTGATAGCGATGTTCGCTAGCCCTGTGCGCGGCACTCTCCTTGCACGGATGTAGCGGCCGAGCGTGGCTATGGTTGACATAGCATTCACGCGCTCGTGTCATTGCAGGACCTGGAGAAGGGAGAGCGCGGCCGGCGGAGAAGACGGCGTGAGAAGGAGCGAGAGCGCGAAGAGCGTGAGGGAGAGCGAGAGAGGAAGAGGAATAAGCGAGAACGCGGAAAGCATGGCTTGCGCCGCGAGAATTAGGAGAGCGGAGAGAAATATTGAGGGCAGTTGAGGAGAGACCGAATGAGAGAGAGAGTCTTTGTGTGGCGAATCTCCGGCTGCTGTTTGAGCAGCTCCACGATCACGATTAGACGATCGAGGAGCCGATCCCGGCCGCCAGCTGTCAACCAGCCGCCGCTAGTGGTCCAGCGCTTACCCCACTGCCAGCAGGACTGCGATTTCGCCGACGCTGTCTCTCCACCAGCGAGCCGCGGGAGGAGCTACCCGGTGGGTTCGATTCTGTTTGTTCCGCGATCTCTCTCTCACTAACCAGTTCTTGCCCGATACGACGCCGCGAACTGAAATGTCGCGTGTGATAGTTGAGCGAATCTGCTCCTATTTGCCGCCTACTGTCGCGTTTCGTGGATTGAGCGAGCGCGCTTACTATCGTGATTTTGTAAGAATCCGTAGATGTAATTTTCGATGGCGTAAATATTGTTAAGGGATCGCCTTTCTATATTTATTTCAATTTCTTCCATTCACCTTTCCCGTCATCGCTGTAGATTCGCGCTCGTGGAAGTCAGCGCCGGCTTCCTTCACCGGAATAGGACCCTTCAATAAATCGCAGGGGGCACAGTAGTGGCGCACTTGGCTGTGTCTTTGAGAATATTTCTCCCTCCCTTTGCAACTTAAGGAATCAGGTAAATAAGACTACGAACTACTAGTAAAGAAAATATTTCTAACAAGGGAACCACCGCAACTGGACCCACCGATTTTTATGATTTTTGGTTATGTTATAATATTTATATATGTGACACGGATTTTTTATATGGACTGACATCCACTTTTAAGAAGTGAAATCCACCCCTGAAAACCACTCCGAAAAATGGTTTTTTAAATATATCTCTGCATTTGATGCTAAAGTTATATCAGTAGAAGCACCTACTCATAAGAAATATTTTGGTATTGATTTTATTTAAAAATATTCATTAGATGCAGAGATATATTTAAAAATCATTTTTCGGGTTGGTTTTCAGGGGTGAATATCACTTCTTAAAAGTAGATGTCAGCCGATAAAAAAAATCCGTGTCGAATATTTTTTGGAATATTACAATATATCCAAAAAATCATTAAATGAGTGGAGTCAGGTTGCGGTGGTTCCCTTGTAAGTAAGAAAAAACTGAACTTTTGATTTTTTATATATGATATTTGAAACTAAGAAATAACATGAACTATCGAGATGGACAATAGACAATTAACTCATTAACCTATAAAGTTGCATCACTACATCAACAAATTTAACGTTCCGTCCATTTTAATGCAAAAATGAATCAAAGATGTCTTTGACCAAGTTAAGATTTTTAAAAATTTTTAAATGTGTACTTTAAAATTTTTTAAATTTATCTATATCATTTCATAGGTAGGGTAAGAGGTTCGGTTGTGAGTTCAGTTGTGGGTAGAGTTCAGTTGTGGATACCCATTCATTTCTGTTAACAGAAAGCAGATGAAGTTTTTCTAACAAATGTCATTTAAGTATTATGGCAACACTTTCTTTCATACCAAATATCGAAGCGAACAAACGTACCTGCTTTATGCTGTGAGCATATTAATTTTTCTGTTTGAAAAAAAGTCACAAAAATTTACTTAAACTTTTTCAATAGTATTACAAATCCAAGTGAATCAATGGCGGTAAGTGTAATGCATATTTATTCAGTAGGAATATACTCCTACTTTGTGATGCAATATGGATAGCAACTAATATGTTGACACTAAAAATTTTTTTTACCACTTCTTAAGATATTTAACAAGTTCGGTTATGAGCACCGAAATTAGTTCGGTTGTGAGCACCCGTTTTGTTTTTTTGAAAAATGGTTAAATCAAAAATATAAATATATAATATAAATTAAAAATATAATATAAATTAAAAATATGATATAAATTAAAAATATAATATAAATTAAAAATATAATATAAATTAAAAATATAATATAAATTAAAAATATCGTCGTTGATTGAACCTAACTACTTAGTTCACAATACCTAATGAAATATACGTATGTTGATAATTTTTTATGTTCCCATGCATTTCTTTTACATTAAAATATTAATGGAGTATTCATATACTTTTCGATTTTTTTAGGCATGTCAACCAAAGATAAATCGAAAAAATCGTCTGATATAGATTTTAATATACTGTTAGATGCCATTAAACGTTGTTCTGTGGATAAGCTGTCCATAAAATCGACTGCCGCAATGTATGCAATTTCCCGAACCATTCTTCAATGCTACGTGAAGAAATTGGAAGAATATTTCGAAAACATCGAAACCATCGAAGGTGATGCTTTATTGGATTTTCTTCGAGCATGTAACAAGCACGTGCCATCGAATCAGATCTTCTGGACAGACCAGGAGAACGACTGATCATCTTGACGGGCACACGGCGAGTTGGTAAGGTGGAAGCTGCTGAACGAGGCACCATGATTACCATGGCGTTGACAGTCAACGCTAATGAAAATGGTTTGCCGCCGTTTCTCTTTTATTCAAGGAAAAACATGCAAAGCTGCTAATTTGATAAAGCCTTTTCGGGTACGGATGCTTTGACAAACTGCTCTGGATGGATGGATCAGCCGGCATTCGTTCGCTACATGCGGTATTTCACTGCGTTTGTCAAGTCAACGCCAGCTTCTCCTATTTTACTGCTTCTAGATAAGCACTCTAGCCATTTGTCGGTAGAAGCGTAAGACTTGGCCGTCGAGAATGACGTGCACATTCTTTCGTTTCCACCGCATTACAGTCACTAGCTTCAGCCTTTGGATGTTTCTGTATTTGGACCGGTGAAGACTTTTTTCCAGTGTCAGTGTTCGGCTTGGTAAAAGAGCAATGCCAATAAGGGCTTGGAAATACGTCACCTAGCCAGATTGATCTGCAAAGCGCTTGATCTGGCGTTGACACCAAAGACAATCAAATCTGGTTTCCGCGAAAACAGGCATCATGCCATTTGATTCAGACATTTTCAGTGAAGCTGATTATGTTGAAGCCGTCGGACAAACTCCAGATCCATCTACTTCGATTTTGAATGACGTCGATCCATTGCACGGTGTGACGCTGAACAAGCCATTGAATCGCGGCCACAATTCAATAGAGAGTTCGATATTGACTTCTCTGGACGTTCTTTGTAGTCTAAAGAAGAAAGCAGCTGAGCGGAATGCTAAACAAGCGGCCAAGGAAGCGACAGTAGCTAAGCGCGTCAAACTAACTTCAGTCAAGGGCACCAATCCAACTTCATCTAAACCATCAGCTAAGCGCGCCAATCCACCTCTAGCCAAACCATCGGCTAAACGCACCAAGCCAAACGATTCTCCGCTATCTGACGATGAAATAGACTTCTGCCTGATTTGATTGAAGCTTTTGCCACGTAAATTGACGGATACCAACTCCATTAACTGTAGGGAATGCGATCGGTTCTTCCACCTGAAATGTGCAGGTATGCGTGTCAACTATTTCACATGCAAACATTGCGTTTCAGACAAAGACTAATGTCATAAATTTTTAAAATGTTATAAAATAGTTTGTTCTAAAATGTTAAATAGTTGTTCTAAATTATAAAATAGTTATTCTAAAATACTGTTCTAAAAAAGTTGTATTATAAAATAAATAAACTTTCATTTTCTCTATATTCTTGGTGATTTCTCTAGTTATTTCCCATCGTCAGCAGAATTTGCAAGGGTGCCTACAACCGAACCAATAAAAGATTTTAGCCAAAAATGACTACTTCACTCATTCATTCTATTTGACGGAATCAATTTTGTCTTTTCGTTGGTAGTTAGCTAAGGTCTCTTAGCTTTCCATAGATACCCATATGTTCAAAAAATATGCACTTGGTGAAAAGTTATGAGCTAAAAACAAAGTGATGTCCACAACCGAACCCTTTCCCCTACACATAACACACCAATGTGTGTATGCGTATGTGTGCATATATATACATACACGCATACAAACATTTGATTCGCCGACTAATAATCAGAGATAATGATTGGCTTATTCTCATCATTGAATATCTTAAGATTTATTTCAAGATATTTAATGGTGCTATAAAATTGTTAATTTTTCTTTCACTAAAAGTAGAGAATATACGTATTTCATATATGAAAACTTTTTTTTTGCCAAATGGACCAACTTCGCTAATTAGTATTACATATTCTTCAAAGCCGTTGGATTCATTGTGTTCACAATACTCAAAAACAAAATTTTAGGATAAATAAAAATTGTAAAAAGAGCTATATTTCATCCGTAATAACGCACCAGAAAAAAAAATTAAAATAGTTACGAAGAGAGGTCAATAAGTCTTTACAAAAAGAAGCAAAAAAAAGTTTTGCGTATGTAATGTTTCTTTATTTTTCAACATAATCTCCTTGAAGGTTGATACATTTTATTAAACGGCCTTCCAGTTTTTTTAAGCCATCAGAAAAATATGATTTCTGAATACCCTCAAACAGGCATTTGTTTCGGCGATGACTTCATCATTCGACGTGAATCGTTGTCCGGCAAGCCATTTTTTGAGGATAAATTAAAT